GGTCAGACCGTGGACCTAGTACATTATCAGAACAAGACAATTCCTGGTGCTGAGAATGGCAAGTCACTGATTACGTCGACTACGATACCAGGAAAACGTATGAGAATTTACCAAATCCAGGGTCTGAAACTGGGAATTATGATAACTACTATGGCAGAGGACTTCGGACTAGGTGCACCAACTAAGTCGATCTGGCAACAAAACCAAGGAGCGAAAACGAGGTCAGCCAACTTCTATACATCGAAAGGAGACTGCAACTATACCAAGGGCCACGCAATCTGGTATTGACAACGCCCTGAATACAGCCGGACAAATAGGGTAATTGTAAGTCAATCCTGTCATCTGATCTTTTTAAATTGTTGTAAGCGTTGTGGTATCATTCCTGATTTCGGTGACCTTAAGAGACTCTGCCATTGTTATAGGGTTAATGAGTTTATCCACCAAAGTTAAAATTATTATACGGAGAGGAATAAGCTATTTAAGTCAAGGCGTGATATGACCATGATCCAGAATCTGGAAAACATTCAAAAACGCTAGAGCATGACCGACAGGAAACCACACAGGATCTCTGATAAATAATAAAATGATATTACAATAAATTGCGTATGTTTGGGATTATAAGAGAGCGTAAGTTAAAGACAATGCGCCCAATTGAAGTGATTTCCGGGATGAGGAGACAAAACGAGATGGTGGAACTAATTCCAAGGATCTTGACATATCCAGAACCAACACACAGGAACAGATTTGCAAGGATATACAATATGCTGAAACGAATGGACAATTAGTCCCTCATGCGGACAAAGGAGAGCGACATTGATAATGGACAAGAAACAATATACCAAGATGGAATGTATTCTGCGAGACAAGACTACATATCGTATACTAAATGACTCATCTATGAAGATAAATGGAACCTTATGTTACGTACTGAAAGATATGCATAGGAACGAGGAAATTGATGCATGGACAAAAAATACAATCATAAAGGAAGTACGACCACCAACAGCCTACGAATTACCAGAGATGTGCAAAGGCGAACCACTTAGGCTGATAGTCAACAAGTCAACACACAAATCGGTAAAATTCATGTTTGAGATACAAGAAATTAAATGACAGATTATCAAACACAGCGAAACATTCATGTGAATTTTCTCGAAGAATAAAAAATATAGAAATGGAAGAAACATATTTATTGCTAAGGTTTTATGTACAATCCATGTATACAAACATCTCTGGAGAAAAAACACAAATGAGCCTGCTGTAAATGCTGGAATGAGGAAGAAATCCTGGACCCAGAAAGAATCAAGAGGGAAGCGCTAATACGACTAATCAGCTTAACAATAAAGACAACCTACTTCACATTCAACAAAAACATCTATGAACAAATATTCCGAGTTCACATAGGATCGTTAATTTCACCTCCTTTGACAAATGTATACATGACAAGTTAGAAGAGAACTCCAAGATGCCACCGCTACAACCAGCAGCGCTCATGCGGTACCTGGACGAATAATTAACACTTTGGTCACGTGGAAGAGAAAAAATGGAAGATTTTTTAAAGTTTATAAACCAGATAGATGAAAAAATCAAATTCACGATGCAAGTAGAGGAAGGTGAGTGGTTACCCTTCCTGGATGTTGAATTGATTCGCTCTAATGGGACGCTCGAGAGTCATATGCTGGGATAATAAAAAATTTCAATCCCAACACAACTACAAAGATAAAAATAATAAAAGAGCATGATCATCAGAAGTCTACGATTAACGGGTGTGGAGTTCTGATATGAAGAATTGGACAAATTAACTAGGATATCCCTCGACAACGGCTAATCAGGCGAAGTAATATAAAGAGACATACGGGCATTGAAAAGCTGATGTCAAAACGCGGACTACAAAAGAAAAGTGAAGACGGAGACAGAGTCACAAACGTGGATATTCTTACCTTCCTGCGATCTAACTCAAAATCCACGACCAATACTAAGAAAATGGAATATTCAGGTGACCACGAAAAAAAACACTCCACAAGTCTACCCAAGCAACATGAGAGGGTGGACAAAAAGGATTATTCGGGAGTTTACTGCATAGCATGCGGTATCTGAGAGCGGGAATATATTGGCAAAACAGGGAGAAAAATCAGCATACGAATCAACAAACATCAAAGGCTCTGCGGGAAAATGGATACCGGAAGATCAGAATTAACGAAACACATCGCACAGATTGTACACAAGATCAATTGGAAGGCAACAGAAAGGAAGACCTCATACGGTGAAAACACAAGGAAACGGAAGATTGGTGAGGCCATTTAAATACTTGGGGAAAAAAACTAATGAACAGGAGGTTAGAAGAGGGCAGAATTAGCGATAACTTTGCCTATTGCTCAAACAAACTCGGGGAAAACAAGGATACGGGAAGACCAGAAAAAAGTAGACGCCTGATTCAAGGACCTATCGTTAACCAAAGGAAAAAGGATTGCGAAAAAGGTAGTGGGGAAATTTGGAAATCAAACGAAGACGTTCTCGGTGAATGAAGTCTGCTCGAATAAACAACTACAACTTTGGAGGCCTGGCGGTTACAGTAATTCATCATTATGGACCAGATGTACTAGAAATCCACTCGAGATGGAGCAGGTGACCAAAGATAGGCAACCACAGTTTGCTCAGGCAACACGGGTTTAATCAAGGCGACCCGTGAAGGCAATGCCCAATATTTGTAGGCATGGAAATCAGAGCCTTGGCGTTCTGTTCAGTGAGGCGGCGGCGTACGTGCTTCTAAGGTCCTGAGAAATAGCGCATGGAGTAAAACGCACACTAGGACTGGAACCGTGTGAAATCAGTCAACCAGAAAGATAAGAAACGAATTTACGGGACTATGAGGGAGATGAGGATAGGAGGCACGAGTAGAATGATGCTGACTAAGATTACGGCGAAACGTCTGAGAATGTACCCGGTCCACGGTCTGACGCTAGGGATTGTGATAACTACAATGGCAGATGACTCCGGACATGGTGAGTCCAACTAAGTCGCCCTTGCAGCAAGACCAAGTTGCGATAGCGAGGTCAACCCACCTCAATTTGTCAGCTTGTTGAGGTTTAATGACCCGAGGAAAAAACATGGCTGCTATAGCGTAGCCCGACAAGTCGTATGCAGATCAAACAGCTGCAGATCGATCTTCGAATCTCTCCATCATGAACTTTCATACGGATTGAGTCTCCAAATGGACAAAAACTCAATTTCATAGCTTGACTGGTTTCATTTTGTACGGCTGTTCATGAGTTATAAACGGCTCGAAGTACAATACAAGGAGATTATCATATAAACACAATCCATGCATCGAGGTGAAAAAGGGTTACTCAGATAAGATAGGCAGCCAATGAAACAAGCGCTCCCCGAGGAATCTGGACATCAAGCAGCTTATGAAATATAGCCTCCTTTTTATTTAAAATCGGAATAAGAATTAAACAAAATATGCCTTGATATTTTTGGTATATATGAAATTATGTTTTTTTTAATCAGGGATACGCAACACTTTGGGACCAAAAGAGTAAAATAAGAGTTATGAGAATTCAGATAAGAGAGAGCTGGAAAATGTCTTAAATTATTAAAGCTATTATGGAGGAAGGTACACAAGGTACTCAATAGAAAATTATAAATACCAACTTTAAATAAGCTTCGCTTGATTATTCAAGAAGAAAGCTCAAATAAATACCAATGTCATTTGTATGACTTATGAAATATTCCACTAAGAAGTCATATATTACAAGTTCCTCGGTCATCATTAGGCTAGCCTTGATCTATACACATATAGTGGATTCAGAAAGGAGAGTATTTTCCCTAAGAGTGTAAATAACGATTAACCTAATTTAAATATACGAAAAAATACAAGAAAGTCGTTTAGTGCATAATAAGTGATTGTGGTAACAAATTAATGCAAGAATGCAGCGACTCCGTTAAGAACTTAACTATGACAGCGATTTTACGTAAAATTCATAGAAAGCTTTTAACTTCACATAGAGGTCGATCATCTCGTCCTTAAATAACTTATAATAAATTAGAGATGTCCATAATACGATGACATGCCAAAACTGACATAAACTAAGCGCATTTATCCAGCTCAGTGGTCTCTGAGCCCGCACCTTCAAAAATTACTTCTTTTGGCATCGCATCATCGAGCTTGACGAACATGCGTATAAATCTGCAGCGAACTCTACTAGTAATAGGGCAGTAAAAGCATAATACTCGCACCATTTTAGCAAGGGAACGAGTTAGGTTACACAAGGCATACTAATTACGCAACACAGCCTCTAATATTTCTCCTCTTTGGTCCTAACCTGTCTGCAATAAGCTTCGATAGTCATTGCCTTAAATCCAAGAGGACATCTTATAACATTTCCATTTTCCCACAGTAATTTCGTATTTGGTGGCTTATTCATAGCCTCTAAACCCCGCTCGGCTTCCCTATTTTAGGTTCTTCGAAAGCGAGGATTTCATGCTGATTACCCAGAAGTAAGATTAGTGGAAATTTTTTAGCGTGACCACTCACCAAACATAGGTACAAACAGGTGATAATGGACTTACTTGTTAAGAAAGATGTACATATCACCTCCAGGCTCATAATCCATCACTAAATGAAGTTGCTTCTTGTCTTGAAAGGCATAATAAAGATGCGGGAGCCATGGATTATCAACTGCGGCAGCTTGAGACAAAACAGTGCGCTCAAGAAGAATTTGAGAGCCCTCCTGAAAAAGGAAATGAATTGATAACCTTGCATAAACTGGCCTAAAGGAATTGCAATAAATTATATTAAACTGAAGATGATGTCAAACTCAACTAAAAAATTATCAACTTATTATCAGCTTCTTTTACAGTTAAACATAATTCATTTGCCAGAAACTTTGACTAATCAATATACAGTGTCAGTAAGATAGTAAAGTATTGTAGCGAAAATAATTACAGCACAAAAGTCTTATAAGTAAAAAAGGATCCTTAAATGAATAAAACCAAGCCGATAGTGATATATTTTTTTACATTATCAAAGAGCCTATATACAGATACTATCTTATGGGACTAGCAAAACATATGCAGAATCCGTATAGAGCATAAAGGATATTATATCAAATAATGATATAATATCCAACATGCCGACAGTGCTAATTCATTGCAAAATTGTACAAAACTAGAAGCGAAGTGAGCACTGTGAATTAGCACTCACAAATTGTTAATGATACAAAGGAAGATCAAATGATGTAAATTAAACTCACGGGGTCATGATGTAGCCAAACGCCCTTATACTGGGACTTCATTGCGTAGACAGAATAAGGCGGTGCTGATTCTCTGACGACTCGAACTAGGCCACAGGCTCCACGACCAATGCTGGGACCCAGCTTGAAGTCTTTTAGACATACACGTAAATCCTCGAGGCGTCGAATAAGCGGTTGAGCTAATAGAATATAATCCAAGTTCAATGTTTGGAAGGTTAATAGAAAAATGTAATGAGCTACTATGGTTGCAAGAGAATTGAGTTGTGCAGTTTGACATATACATATATATGTCGAATAAATATATCAAGCCAAATTCTGGCGAGACTTGATTCAATGATTCAGATTGACTCGCTGAGTAAAACCTCATATTGCTTGTGAACAATGATGTCATTGCATAATTGAAGGAAATGTCACAATGAAATAAACTAGCTATTTGAAAAGCTTTATGCATTTAAAAGAAGTTATTTAGAATGAATTAGTGGGTATAAAGAATAAATCAAGCAATAGACTAAGATAGAAAGAACTAACACTATTATGAGAGAAAGCTTACTACGTTTCCTAAAGTAATCAGTCATTATCATTGTAGCGGACTCCTCTGACTCTCCATCACCAGCATCTTCCTCTTCAGCGGCATCATAGCAATCCTGGCGAACCTGGTCGACTAGCTGCACAACAACGAAGAACATATCTAGAAGACCATCCAACGAGAGGAGACAAGGATCTGGATCTGTTGGCAAGCGGCGCTTTTTAATAGAAAGGGACGCTTTGGAAGCGGTTATTGAATCATTAGCAGTTTTAGCCAATATCTTCCCTCCAATAGACTGTTTGGAATACGACAAGCCAAGCTTATTTTCTTTGTCACTTCCATTAAGATTACCCTCCTCTTCTTCGACAACATTCGTCAGACTATCAGTTTTATCATCAGATCTACCAGGGTCCAGATTGAAGTGAGAGGAGGCCTGGAAAGGCAAGAGAA